AGGCTTACTGCCGAAGGGACCAGCAAGACTCCTCACAAGAGAGGAGTGAAGTGTTAGCTGTTGTTTCAGGTGACTTTTATAACATCTGAGATCTGGGGAATCTTGCTGCCTTATATAATTTTAGCAGTCCCAAAGGAGTACCCTCTCAGGTGACCATATGACCTTTGAGATTTCGGGGATCTTGCTGCCTTACATGGTTATAGCTATCCCAAAGGAGAGCTCTCACAGATAAAGGGGGTAGGGGCTAATCATTTACTGCCTTTACTAAATGGGCCTACTGTTGCCTAGAGAAAGAGCATGCTTAGCTATGAGAGAAGAGGCTTCTAGGCTAACAGGAATTAAGGAATGGCTCCTTTCCTAATCTTGATAATCAATTGTACTTTGACTGTGAACCCAACTCCTTGATATGGAGGAGGGACAGTTTGGATTAGGATTAAAAACCCAGCAAACTGCTTTGCATGGGGTGCCTGCATAGCTCTAGGTAGAGTAACTGCATTGCACTTTTTTGCTATACCTCTTGTATGTCTATATTCATTTCTGATACCACAGAGTCATGCATTTCTAACAGTTAATGACCAAAAAAGCCAGAAGTGGAGCTGTAGCTCTCTAGTGGTAGAGTGCCAGCCTTGAGCAAAAAAGTTAAGGGACAGCCCCCAGGCCCTGAATCCAAGTGCCAAGAATAGCATTAAAAGAAGAAGAAGAAGACCAGGTGCTGGTGGCTCACACTTGTAATCCTAGCTACTTAGGAGGCTGAGATCTGAGGATTGTGGTTCAAAGCCAGCCTGGGCAGGAAAATCCTTGAGACTCTAATCTCCAATTAACCACCAGAAAACAGGAAGTGGTGCTGTGGCTCAAGTAGTAAAGCACTCGCCTTTGAGCTGAAGAGCTCAGAGACAGTGGCCAGGCCCAGAGTTCAAAACCTACAACCGACCACACACACACACAAAAAAGCCAGAAGTTGTGCTGTGGTTCAAATGGTAGAGCTCTAGCCTTGAGCACGGAGAGGCTAAGGGACAGTGCCCAAGCCCTGAGTTCTAGCCCCAGGACTGGCCAAAAAAAAAAAAAGTTAACTAAGTTAAAAAAGTAAATAGCCTTTGATAAAAGTCACGTAGCCAAGGGCTTGAGACTACCTGAAGCCTGCTTCTCAGTACTGAATCTGTTATGCCCCTTAGGGCCCAGTTCTAAGTGTTTACCTCTGTCCACCCGATCTCCAGGACGGGTGTCTCAACGGTTTAGCTTTTCGTTTCCTATTCCCTCCCACGCGCTCCGAGCTTCAAGCTGAATTCAGCCAGAGCCAGGATGACGCCACCCAACTGTGACTCGCCCATCCCAATCCCTGCGAAGCTTTAGACTACATTTCCCAGGAGGCACGGCGGCCCCTGTTCGTTGCCAGGCAACGAGGCGCGCGGAAGCCAATTAGTTGGATACTCAGGCTGGGCTGTCAAAGAAAAATTTCACTAGACTCAGTAATCTGGGAGGATCGTGGTTCGAAGCCAGCCTGGGTAGGAAAATCCGTGAGCTTCATCTCCAAGTAACCACACACACACACACACACACACACGCAGCCGGAAGCGGAGCTGTGGTTCAAATAAGTAGAGCGCAAGCTTAAAAAAAGGGGGGGGGGAATGTAGGGGGGGCTGGGAAGGTGGCTCAGCGGTACAGTGCTTGCCTTGAGTGCAAGAGGCCCTGGGTTCGATTCCTCAGCACCACGAAAAGGCTGGAAGTGGCGCTGTGGCTCAAGTGGTAGAGCACTCGCCTTGAGCTGAAGAGCTGAGGGACAGTGCCCAGGCCCAGAGTTCAGGCCCCACGACCGACCAAAAAAAAAAAAAAAGCCGGGCGCGGGTGACTCAGGCCTGTAATCCTAGCTACTCAGGAGGCTGAGTCAAAGGCTGCTCAAAGACAACCCGAGAAGCACAGTCCGTGAAACTCCTATCTCACCTAACAAAACGTCGGAAATGGCGCTGTGGTTCAAAGTGGTAGAGCGTTGACCTTGAGGGAAAAAGCTCGAGGAAAGTGTCCAGGCCCGGAGTTCAAGCCCCACGACTGGGGGGTGAGGGGGAGGGAGGGAAGGGAAGCGCCAAGGGATAGCACCAAGTAGCTAGGATTACAAGCTTTAGCCAGCAGAACCGTGTGTGTGTGTGTGTGTGTGTGGTGTGTAGCTGTGGGAGACTCAAACTTTGAAGTTTGTGGCTGTTTCCCCACGTGTAGTTGTGATTTTTTTAAAAAACTATTGGGTGCTTGTGTCACCGCGTCTCCAAGGTGTGTGTCACTGTGGGAGTGTGAGAGGCACACTTTGGAGTCTAAATGTGATGTGGGAACATGTGTACATGTAAGAACCCAGTTTTCCATTTTTTGTTAACTCCCACCCCCAGTCTGGTATCTCTGTCTGGTCCTGATCATCAGTTGAAGAATAATCCCACCCCTAGTAGTGATCTTTGAGCTTCTGTAAACCTGTTCTTTATAAACTCTGCCCTATTGGACAGGTCGCTGCTGCTCTTAGTTCTGACCTTAGCCCGTTACAAGGCAGTCCTGGTGGACCAAATAAAACTTTTGTCATCTTTGAGCGCACTCATCGTCAAGGTTATTACAGTATGCAGGGTATTTGTTTATGTTTGGGTGCTGTCCCACCCACTGCAACGGGGAACAAGGGAGTAACAGAGGGAGATCTATCCATAGAATTGAGGTTTGTGGTACCAGGGGCCTGAAGCCTTTCACCAGCTTCAGGTGCTGAAGATCCTTTTTACAAGGTATATTGAGTAGGGTACAGGGGCATATGTACAGAAAGTGAGGTGTCAATGTTCTTGAAGTCACAAACACCCATCATGTGATACAATCATATTCAAGTGAAATGACTTCCTTATCTTAGGAAGTAGGTAAACAATAAATTACTTACAATTTGCATAGGCGTTTGTCTATCCCCAAGCTCCCAGAAAGTTTGGGGTTGAATTAGCCTACACACAGGATAGAAATCTGAATTTCTGTTGTCAGGACCAATTGACCTTTTCAGAAAACTCTCAGCATTCTGAGAGTATGATGGGAGAAGGCCTTCCAAACTCCCAGGTCCTTTCAAGTCTTATAGCTTGGAATTTGGGGCTCGCACAGGGTGCCATGATTTTTTTTCTTTTCTTTTTTGGTACTGGGGATCGAACCCAGGACATTGCACTTGCTAGGCAAGTGCTTTGCCACTGAGCTACATCCCAGCCCAGGGTGCCATGATTTTTGTATCCCCTAGTGCAAACGAGTTTGTGTGGCTCTGTGCCCATACAGCCAATTGAAGGTGGGGGATGTGGAGGAGACATCGTTGTTGTTTTTGTGACTCCAGAAAACTTCTCTAAGTTCAGAATAGATTCTGTGAAGAACTGCAATGATCCTTTGTGTGTGTGTGCGCACACGTGTGTGTGTGTGGTCAGCATTAAACTCAGGGCCTCACTGTTGCTAGTTATGACAGAACCACACCCCAAGTCCCAGTGATCCTGCTTTTTGCCTGATGCCCAGAATGAAAAGGATACCTTCAACTTCTCTGACCTCCTCCTTCTGTTTATGGTAGGGGTAGGGACTGAGCGATATAGTGACCTCTGAAATGGCTAGTAGGTTCCCAGAAGAGCTTGGTGTTTACTGACTCCTTTTTCCTTCTCCAGTCTTGCCTTGCTTGGATAGAGGCCTCCTAAGAATTGTAAAGAATGGAAGTTGAACATCCAGAAGGCAACTGCAAGGTAGTTATGATTTTATTTATTTCCCCCCCCCTGAAATCCTTGTATCTTCATTAGGACAGGACTTGCTTTTCTTTTCTTGAAAATTCTTGTTTATCATGTGACCTGGTTCTAAAGTTTTCTCCTTGGGAAACAGTAGAAACTCCAAACTCCTACTGTCCCATCAGATGAACATTTTTTATTTTCTCTTATAAATTGGTCATATGATTTGTTTTTCATTATTCTGTCTGTTTTTTTTCTTTTTTCTTTCTTTTTTTTTTTTGTCAGTCTTGGGGCTTGGACTCTGGTCTTGGGCTCTGTCCCTCAGCTCTTCAGCTCAAGACTAGCGCTCTAGAGACCAGTTGAGCCATAGTGCCACTTCCAGATTTTTCTACTTATGTGGCACTGAGGAATCGAACCCAGGGCCTCATGCATACAAGGCAAGCACTCTTACCACTGAGCCACCTTCCCAGCCTTGCATGCCTGAGGCCCTGGGTTTGATTCCTCAGCACCACATAAGCAAAAAGAAAAAAGCCGGAAGTGGCGCTGTGGCTCAAGTGGTAGAGCGCTAGTGTTGAGCTGAAGAGCTGAGGGACAGCGCCCAGGCCTAGAGTTCAGGCCCCATGATCAGACCCCCCCCAAAAAAAATTTCTTTTACCCATCAGTCTGACTTCATCATTCCTTCTGTTTTCCTTGTCTATTTCCAAAACTACCCCATATCTGAGGAACATATATGAAAAACACTTTTTATGAAAAATAATTGCATCAATGCCTTTCATTGTCCATTAATAAAAGTTTTTTTGGTTTTTTTTTTTTGGGTCCGGTCATGGGGCCTGAACTCTGGGCTTGGGCGCTGTCCCTCAGCTCTTCAGCTCAAGGCGAGCACTCTACCACTTGAGCCACAGTGCCACTTCCAGCTTTTTTCTTTTTGCTTATGTGGTGCTGAGGAATCGAACCCAGGGCCTCAGGCATGCAAGGCAAGCACTCTACTACTGAGCCACCTTCCCAGCCCCATTAATACAAGTTTTATTTCTCCCAGAACATGGAAAAGTAAATGTTTGCTTTTATATTTTCTTTCAGGTTGTAAATGAAAGTTGAGATCAAGAATTTCTTTCTGAGAAAAGGATATTTATTGAATTATCTCCTAAGTGGAGATAATGGAAAGCTTTACAAAACACAGCATTGAGTGTCTAAGTTTCAGACGTGATTGGAAATGTAAAAGCCAGATTGAGAGAAAACAGGGATCTCTGGATGGACATTTCAGTCAAATGATATTTCCTTCTGAAGACATGCCCACTTAAAGTACCCAACATCAGAGAATTCATACTAATGAGAAACTCCTTGAATGTAAGGAATATGGGAAGGATTTTGTTTTCATATCAGTCCTTATATGCCATCAGCGAATTCATATGGGTGAGAAACGTTAGAAGTGTAAGGAATGTGGCAAGGCCTTTGGTAGTGGTGCGAACCTTGCTTACCATCAGAGAATTCATACCAGTGAGAGGCCTTACGAATGTAAGGACTGTGGGAAAGCCTTTAGTTTTGGCTCAGGCCTTATTCGACATCAGATCCTTCACAGTGGAGAAAAGACTTATGAGTGTAAGGAATGTGACAAGTCCTTTAGTTTCAAATCAGCTCTCACTCCGCATCATAGAATTCACACAGATGAGAAACCTTATCAGTGTAAGGACTTCGAGAAAGCCTTTGGCAGTGGCTCAAACCTAACTCAACATCAGAGAGTCCATACTGGTGAGAAGCCCTTTGAATGTAAAACCTGTGGAATGGCATTTAGTAGTGGATCAGCCCTTACTTGGCATCAAAGAATTCATACAGGTAAGAAACCTTATATATGCAGCGAATGTGGAAAGGCCTTTAGTTTTGGATCAGCCCTTACTCGACATCAAAGAATTCACAGTGGTAAGAAACCTATGTAAGAGGGCTGGGAAGGTGGCTCAGTGGTAGAGCGCTTGCCTTGCATGCCTGAGGCCCTCGGTACGATTCCTCAGCACCACATAAGCAAAAAGAAAAAAGCCGGAAGTGGCACTGTGGCTCAAGTGGTAGAGCACTAGCCTTGAACTGAAGACCTGAGGGACAGCGCCCAGGCCCAGAGTTCAGGCCCCACGACCGGACCCCCAAAACCTATGTAAGAAATGTGGGAAGGCTTTTACTAATGGCTCCAATCTCAGCATCAGAGGATTCACAGAGGTGAGAAACATTTGTGTGTAAGGAATGCAAGAAAGTATTTAGAAGTGGTTGAAAATTTATCCAGCATCAAAGAATGCACACAGTAAACACCCTTTGATGGTCAAGTGTGTGGGAAGATCTTTAGTAGTGCTTCTGACCTTGCTCAACTCAATGAATTCACACTGGGGAAAAGCCTTATAAGGAGTGTGGGAAAGCCTTTGGTAGCAATTCAAAACTGATTGAGCACCAGCTAATTCATACTGGTGAAAAGCCCTATGAATGTAAAATGTGGAAAGTCCTTTTTTTTTGGTTGGTTGTGGGGCCTGAACTCTAGGT